CCTGCCAACAAAAGTGCATATAGTCAAGGTGATGGTTTTCTCAGTTGCAATGGATGTTTGTGAAAGTTGGACCTTAAGGAAGGCTGAGCACCAAAGAATTGAGGCTTTTGAGCCATGGCGCTGGAGAAGACTCCTGCGAGTCCCTTGGACTGCAAGTTGGTCAAACCGGTCAGTCCTAGAGGAGATCAACCCTGACTGCTCTTTAGAAGTCCAGATCCTGAAGATGAAACTCAAGTACTTTGGCCACCTAATGAGAAGGAAGGACTCACTGGAGAAGAGCCTAATGCTGGGAATGATGGAGGATAAGAGAAGAAGGGGAAGACAGAGAATGAGGTGGCTGGATGGAGTCACCGAAGCAGTAGGTGTAAGCTTAAATGGACTCCAGAGAATGGTAGATGACAGGAAGACCTGGGGGAATGTTGTCCATGGGGTTGCAATGGGTTGGACACGACTTCGCAACTAACAACAAAGATCCCTATATTATTCCTGATACACAGCAACAGTGAGGACAATTAGTTAACCCAACTCCACAAGTTCTTCTGAGCTGCAAAGTAAATTTAGAAAGCTCACAATGTGTGTTGCTGGTTAGGGGGAATAATATTTATTAAGGGTGTCTGCCTTCTTTGGGAACTCTGCAAGGATTAAGGAAGGGGGAATAAGTCCCAAAGCTTCTCTAAGGCTATTGAACAACTAACAAAAGACGGGAAGCAAATCTTCATTTCGTCCCAAATGTCCTTTTTTTCAAACGGCTACTGGACTTCCTTGTTTTTCTTTGAAGACCTTTTGCTTCTCATCCAAGAAGCTTCCAAGAAAGTCCAGATCAGGGGTGAAATTCAGCCGGTTTTGACAGGTTCTGGAGAACCAGTAACCTCTGGCTGGTTCCAGGAATGGGGAGGGAATGGGGATTTTGAAGTATCCTTCCCCTGTCACACCCACCAAGCCAAGCTCACAGAACCAGTAGTAAAAAAAAAAATGAATTTCACCATTGGTCCAGTTGCCTCTTGGAAAAAAGCAGCTTTGGGACAACCATGACTGAGAATCTCCATAGACATTTGTTCATTTCACCGCTTTTGGAAACGCGTGCAGAATGAAATGATTTGGAGCTGGTCCAAAGATGGGTGGGAGCCGCTGAAGAAGCCCGTCAGCTTATGGAATGGACCTTCCTGCGCTGGCTTGATCCAAAATGTTACTGAAGAACGGCTCTTCGCTGACAAGGGGCGCTCTTATCCTCAGGTTACAAGGCGAGATGTGCCCACAGCAACATCCCCGCCGCGACCTCAGCATCATTCAGGAGAAATCCCTTGCTGAACCTGAAACCCACAGAGGTGAGAATTTCCCCCCAGGGCTTCCCCAGGACCATCTCCCATCGCTGCATCGCTTGACAGCTGAAGGCAAACCGGGAAAACCCGCCCGAAACTCCCCACCTTTCCTACAGGTTTCCTCTCTTCCACCCCACCCCTCGAACTACAGCACGGCTTCTCCATCACCAAAATCGCTCTGCTCGATATCCTTCGCCGGACTCCCTCCTTGCGCATCTTGCCCGTCATTTTTCTATTGCAATCAGGATATTCTCTTGGTCCCAAGACGTCTTCTTCCCTCCCCTTCCCTTTAATCCCCATTCTCTGCGCCAGGATGGAGCAGCCCTGCGCAACTCTGGAGTCTGGATGGACGCTAGAGAGTCGCACCGTTGGGCGGCGGGATTGACTCCGGACGCGCCTGGTTGCGACCTGAGAGTTGGCTGCTTATCCCGAGGAACCACACCTGAGATGGGAATGCCTTGAGGGAGGAAACGGCCTCGCCAAGATTTGCCTCCGATTTAAAAAAAGGGGGGGGGGGACGGTGGCGGCAGGAGCGCACGCGTCCTTTTGGAGACCCACTGTCTGGACTTCTGCGCCTCCGTTACGCGCTCGTGTTCCTCTCCTGGAGCCGGCCGGACTGATGACCTCGTCTCCCTTCCCAGGATCCCGAAAAGTGGGCGCAGGACGAGGCTATTCCTCTCCGGAGTTCACTCTGGGGTCGTGGAAATATTTATTCGGGAATGAGGAGAGGGTCCCTGAGTTGCTCAGAGATGCGAGGATCATTCTTCGCTGTCCCTTCCCAAAACGGCGAGATTGAGATCTCTTGATCCTACGTCTGACCATGAAGTCAAGAAGGAACATTACCAGCGAATGTAACGGATGCGCGGAGACGCTTTCTATTTGGGGTGGACATTCTCCTTCTCTCTCCATCTTTCGGACAAGGAGAGATTTTTCTAATAATCAATGCAGGCTGCGGAGGATAGTTTCAGTTTCAGTTTCACTTTATTTGTATGCCGCCCTTTTCCCTGGGGGGACTCAGGGCGGCTCACAGTTCAAAGGGGGGGGGGAAGGACAAACAATTTACAACATAAAGGCACTACATCATTTAAGAACTCAACAGTCATACAATTGGAGTAGGGGTTAGAGTCTTTAGAGCCAGACGGGATAGCCAGATTTTAAGGGCCCCTTGACAAAGTGGGGATGGGCAGGAAGCTGCAGGCAGCTATTCTGTCTTTTAAAACATGTTTCTTTCTTTTCACATCCAGAGAA